CCGAGCTCAGGGTGCAAAAAGCAAAAGCAAACAAAAAACGGCATCAAATCCAAAAACTACTTTTTGGAACTTGACGCGCTTCGGGCAAAGACCCTCCAGTTATTTATATAACAATTCTCCTCCTCCCCAGGCTAGGAGCAAAGTGTGACGAGACAACGTGGCATTTGCCCAAAAATCTGACTAATTTTCTATGGACTGGAATGTCTAATGAACTTCTCAAATTGTCAGCGGCAGCTGTTTTGGGATAAAATACTTGGCTAACTAGATGAATTTACAAGGGCCTTTCGAATTACCAACATTTCAAATGCTCAAAAATAATTCATTTAAGATTGAATTATGGGCTAAAATATTGAATGTTAAATTACAATAATTGCGTAATAAATGTAATAAGTCAGGTGGGAATTAAGTAATAAATTAATCAATACTCCATTTATTATATAACAAATTGAGCAAGTGTGATAAACTCGCGAGTGGCCGATTGGGAGATACCCTGCATTTCCAATCTCCGAGATAGGTCAAAGAAAAGAGTCTAGGAACAATATCTATATTTATAGTCAATAAATCGAACAAAGTTATGGATAATTTAAATTAACCATAGATATATATACTTTATAGGATATGAGGTGCTTGCTTGCACAACCAACTATTGTCCAGTCCCATTCGATACGGGGTATAAAAATAATTATGGTAAACTTATGAAGCCAAATTAAATTATGCCAAGCTGATGATAGAAACAGATTCAAAGTTGACGCTGCCCAAAATACCCAGGGAAAAGCAGATTCAATTGATTGGACCAGTCGCAGGAACACATCCCAATTTGGGGTCTCTCGACCAGCTCGACCAAGTGTTCCATGTGTGTTGGCATCGATATTAAATTAAAGCGATAACAAATTGTAATTACAGGGCTTGGCATGGCGAAGTTAATGGAGTTTCGACCAGCGAAGCACTGCGACACATAAATAAACAAATTGACATAAATTAGTAAAGATTGAAAAGATTGCGTTGCCTGTGGCCTGTGGCCTTTGTTGTCTTTGTTATAAATGTGGCATTCATGGCTGGGCACGTGTAAATCGTGTGTAAAGCTGGCAGTCTGCATTAACTACACATGTACCATTGGCCATTCAGCTGTCTCCGTGTGTGGCATAAATTAAAATCTAAATGAGGTCAAGAAATAAATTTCAATTTGATTGCCCCAGAGACATGTTCTGCCGCCAGAGCAGCAACAAGTGCACCGTGTGCACTTAAAAGACTCAAGCAGCTAGATTCGAGAAAAAAATAAGATTTGTTCTATATACCCTGAATCTCTTAAACATGGGTAAGACGGGTATATAGCTTTTGTGCAAATGTATGTATTATGTATTATATTCTTGATCAGCACGAATAACTAAGTCAATTTATCCATATACTCTTTGTTTGTCTGCTTAAAGGCGTCCCTCTTGGAAGCTGCTACAGTTTCAGATTTGAAAAATCAATATATGTTCTCGTAAAGCATCGATATTTTCTTTTGTTTTCTAAAGATCGATTTTTTTTTTTTTTTTTTTTTTTTTTTTTTTGTTATTAATTTGGTTTATTTTGCGCTGGAATCGATCAGTGCCTTCTGATCTCTACCAAGCGGAGTTAAGGGTATAGTGTATAGTTATTATTTAATAACTTAAATGATAATTACAGACTTAAAAATATATAACAATAATGGGAAAGGGATGTTTAAGTGATGTGCCTCGTTGGTAGGTCGTCGGGGTGTAGCCTTCGGAGGCGCCTCTCACTGATGGGCTCAGCCAGGGCCCTTGCGGCCGCGTTCGGATGCTGCACCAATTTGTCGGAGTATCGGCTGCTGAAGAAGTTGAGCTGATCTCCGACCTTTGTTAGGCGGAGATCGCGTTCGATGGCGTCTGTTGTTACGTACCATGGCAGGCCAGCAACCTTGCGTGCTGCCTTGGCTTGGACCACTCTTATGCGACGGAGCTGGTGTGCTGATGCCGTGCCCCAAACTTGGATCGCATATGTCCAGATAGGCGTTACCATCGTTTTGATAAGCAGTGTCTTCGTGGATATGTGCAGCTTGCTTTGAGGCTTTAGTAGCCAATCGAGCTTTTGAAGTCTTCAAGATCGATTTCAATACACAAGCTGTAGCATGTAGATACGCTAAATTTGGTAGGCAGGCTTTTGTAAAAAATATGCAGAAAGTGTATGACTCACTTTTTGGACAACCCCTGACTATTTATTGATGACATAGTCTTGGCCTTTGGTATTTACATAATATTATATGCCCAACTTAAAATGATCGAAATATAAGCTCACGACTATATTACCCCTAGATAGTGTATACATGTGTCTATGTAGAATGCATTTAATGGCAACTTGACGCTACTTTTGTTTTAACACAATTGAAAGGTTGCCATACACTGACTCAATGAAGTCCGCTCTCATTAGGGAAGCTAATTCCCGTCCTTTTGATCATTTCGCAAGAGTCGGTCAGCCGCTTAGCCTTAATAATGTTCCATGCTTAAGTGAAGTGTTTGCTGCTGTTTGCAGTCGTTGGTCGCATTTGTAATGCGCTTTTCGGATTAACAGCAATTAGGCAAATGCTGAATTAATTGTGCCACGATGATGTCACATCATATGCACATCATATGAATACGTAATTGGAATTTGCGCAATAACATTTTGATGCCTTATACGATATTGAAAATTGTGCTCGTGCTTTCATGTTCGCCTGGCAATTAAGTTCAAGCTGCCAGTCTGTGTTGGCATTTGACATTTGACAACAATCCCCATACACATATACACCCACACACATGTATATTTATATATACTCACACTCGCACACACACACACACACACACACCCACACATAAGACACAGATGCTAAGCCGCAGCAACCGGCTTGGCAATATTAGCGGTGATATGACAAACAGCGCAGTCGAAACCGTCGCAATGCAAACACCAAGTGGCCCGTTTGTGCAACCCAACATTAACATCGAGAGCAACCACTCAGAACCCAGTTATCTGAAGACAGTTGCGACTTGCAAATACCCTTTTAGAACGAGCACAACCTAACGTGACAGTACGCAAGAAGCAAACCTAATCTAGCAAAGTGTTACGCTAGAAAGGAAATAAAATAATTTGTTAGGAAATGTAATCATCAAAGTAAGGCGTAAATATTTTCCAATCCAATTTCTGGGCTAAATTTGGTATCTACCAACAAATGGCAACTACTACGCATGGTTAAATAAATGCTATGATTGAGGCCCAAGATATTAATGCCTTGGCTCGGAGATTCATAAAAAATTGTTGAAATATTGAAATAACAAAATATGCTTAGGTTAGGCTTCTGTTTGTCAACTAACGTGTTTTAAGGTGCTATAAAAAAATAATAAAAACCGAATCCCGTTCCGAGCTCGAATCGGTTCGCTTTAACACCGTACTCCTCATACTCCACCATACTCATCATATACACCAGCATTAGAACACATAATGCTCGCCAAGCTGTTGGTTATAGGGCATACAATAACAGCAAGAATATGCCATAATCCTTGCTGAGATGTCGCCGCCAATGAGCATTATGCGCTTTTGTGGGTTTTTAAGTTTAATTAGTGAATGCTCCTTGACTGTTTGGCGGTCACGTAAGCGGGCTTTGTGCCGATAAAATTGCGTTGTCGATTCGGTTTTGAGGTTGGCAAGCGACCCAATCTGATGGTATGTATGTTGAGGTGGGGTTGGGAGTTGGGGGATATTTAGGTGCTGTAATTGCCGAAAGATGGCTGTCACTTCAAAAGTTGCCATCACAATTCGGTATTAGGGTGTAGTATCGAGGGTTTCTAAAATGAGGTTTGCTGCATGGTTGAGCTTACGTATAGAAAAATATTTATATGTGCATGTGCTACGCATGAGTTTTGTTGTCGAATGTGTGGCAGATGCTTTTAAAGTTTGAATTAAAATTTATTTAAGTAGAATAACTTTGAGTTTGTCTAAATTATGTCGTTAATGCTTATTAGTAAATGTTTCTAATTAATCATATGTTGAATATTTTATTAAGAACAATCTAATTGACAGGTAAACCTCGAATGTTCAATGTCTTTTTCGAATTAGGTTGCTTTATTTCAAAGGCAATTTGTGATAACACCTTGTGATTTAGTCTAAATTGTAGTCACACAATTATTGTCAATGCTCGATGCAGCTGCATCTGGATTCACACATACTATACTACAGCAATAGCTGGCAACTGACAACTGGCAACTTTTGAGTTTTATAGCCAAGTCCTGGAATATTTCAAACGTGTTTGTTGCGCTTTACGAGAGCTTTACGCCATCTGCCAGAATCCATCAAGAATGCACATCCCGTGTTCACGGCAATCGAAAAGTGTTACGGGCATACATATATATAAACTGACATATACATACATATATATCGTATCGTGTCGTATTTCGCCGTCTTCTTTATACACAAAAGCGTGTGTGCACATGCATTTTTAAACGTTGTACATTGGCTTGTATGCGTTCGTACGACCAAATATAACTCATACGTCATGTTGGTTGCGTCGAAAAATTGTTAATCGCACACAGATATTATCTAGTGCATCTGTATACGGGCGTGGCACATAAAATCATCCATGTGCACATGAAACGCATTCAGCTGCACATTTCTCGGCACATTTTGTGGCAACAACAAATGTTATATGACACAGCTTCACGCAATTTTCTTGATGTAAATATCAGCCTTTCTTATATACAATTAAATGTCTTAAAAGTTGACAATGTGTAAAGTGTAACTTACAACCCTTGGTTTATACAACAGGAATACTTGACAAAAAATAAAACAATTTTAATTAATCTGTAAAATATAATTATTTGTTTAATTGCATAACAGAGAACTTCATAAAACATTTTTTTTACTCCTCATTGTGGTTAATTTTTTTTTATTTTTGCTGAAAAAACACAAAACGATGTCACATTTTAATTAAAATCTGTTGAAACAGAAGTTTTAAATGAAAAATTAGATACATTTTAACTTTTATGTATGTGCTTCCGTATGTCTCTCCTCCGTCAAATTGTTTCCGGCTTTTTATTTATTTTCAAAAAATGCTCTGCTTTAATCCTCTAGCTTTTACTTTTGTCCATTAATAATGTGCTGCAGAAATGTTAATAAAATTGTGAGAGTAATTAATAAAATGGCCAAAGGCTGAGGCATGGCTGTATAGCTTGAACGGTTGATTTATTTACATTTAAGCTGGCCTTAAATTGAACAGAGCAAACAGCAGGCAACTTCAAACGGACGCAACAGGAAGCAAACTTTAGTATTGGGCAATTGTTCGGTTTCTGAGTTGGGTCGATGAAAACTTTGGCAGTGACAATGCTTTTCCAACGCCAAAAGGTTTTTCGGGACTGCTTTACAAAAACAAAAAAAAAATTGGTTTCTCTTTGGCTGCACGGCTTAATTAGCACAAAAAGGCTGCAGACAGTTTCAGCAAAAAAGAAAACTCAAACAAATTGGTTTTAAATTTCAACATGAAATAGGTTCATCCTCGCAAAAACCCCGCTCTCAAGCCCTGCGACTTTGCCCAAGTCTGGGAAGCAAAAGTAATTATGCGCATAAAAGTAGGCAATGCTTTTTATTGGCTCATAGCAGCAACGCATACGAACTTGTATACCCTGTATGACACAAAGTCTTTGAAAAGGGTATGATTTTTACTGATGCAAAGTAGCACCAACTTATGTTATTCGATTTATTACTGAGATATCTGAAGTAATGTAAGACAGATATTTATGATCATGATATAGGGTATCTACTAATTATACATTGTCAACTTTTGCACACTCACTTACCGGTTTTTTGCCAGTTTTGCATTGAAGAGTCAATTTTACAAAATTGAAATTTAAATTATTGAAGCGTTAAATGGTACAGCAGCTGGAGAGTGGTGAGGTAACGACACAAAATGCAATGGTTGGCAGTCATTGCTATTTTTTGGTGACAGGCGAAGTATTTATAAATTTGTACAGGGAAGTGCACTTATGGAATTTGTATTTTCAATGTGGTACAATGGTTGCCGACTGTGTATGCTTGGACACAAGTTAAATAATCCGATTCTGTTAAATGCGAATGATTGTGGCAAGAACTACATTGAGCTATGCATAAGATATACGTGCTAGCCAAAATAAACGTGTTTATATATATTAATTTAAAAAATTAAATCTTAATATTATGCTCAAAAAAAGTGTACGCGGTTTGAAAAATACAGCCCGTAACTGTGGAAAATTGATTAAAAATGGTTGCGTGTGCGCATGTAAGTTTTTAATATCCACGTCAATTGCTGAGTTTTTCTGCGATTCTCATAAATTCAGGTAGTCGTGATCTTCATGTTTTGATTATAATTTAATCAATTGTAGCCTTTTATTTTCTTTCTTATTTCTGTCAGATTTTAATCCATTCTCTTTAACCCACTTTTAATCAACTCGTTCTCCTTTATTTTCAGTGATGTGTCTATATCAATGTCAGCCTTCCTTCTGCTAATAGATAGCAATTAATCAATCGAGCATACACTTTCACACATACGCAATTGGGAGGTAAGTACTTATTTACATTCTCAAATAATAATAAAATGGGGATGCAAACATTTTATTTATCTTCTCACTTGTTGTTTTGTTGATGCAACAACAAGTCTTGTGATAAGATTGTTGAGAATTTCGTTTGTATTATTGTTGTTATATGTTCGTTGAGGTGTATGAAATTAAATTTTCGATTTATATGCAGTAGATAATAATTCACTTAGATGTCTAATTGCTTTAATTACCAACTTGTTACTTAAAGCTTTTTGTGCAGTTTAATTGAACGTGTTCTTAATGGCTTATTAAATAATCAACACTATTTTTTAATAGTTTGTGCGTTGTTGCATAAAAGAGGCTTTTGAGGAATTGAATTTTCAATTAATGCATATTCATGGCTGAAATGTTTTTTTGTTGTTCGGCAGAACCATGCAATCGCCAACAAGAGACGACACAAAGCGATATGGCAAAGAGACAGGGAAATGTATAGCCATGGCGACAGGCACCAATGCCAGCACATTTCACACAAATATAAATATTTGCTTATGCCACATTGGGGCGACACAGAAACACAAACAGAGTGGTAACTTGGGTGGCAGGCAGATGCCCTTATGAGTCTTGCAAGCGGCAAGCGCATATTGTCAGAATAAGGGAGAGAGCGATCGGGGAGCTGGTGAGAAATATTTTGCCCGCATTGCAAACGCTTTTCCCATAGACACCAATCGTAAATAAATATTTTGATTTATTGTCTACGTCAATATTTCCGCAAAATTTATGCTCGGCATCGCGCATTGGGAAGTCGTATAATTAATATGCTTACCCGGCGTATGCGTTATCTTTATTTCGAATCAACTCTATGCTAAAATTCGTAATGCCTTTAAAGTTCCGCCATACAGATTGGACTTTAAACTATGATCTCTCAGCTTAACGGGCCTTATTAAAGTGTACAATGGTAATGACATTTAATGTGGCGAATGTAAAACAGTTGTACTTTGTTGACATTTGTAAACGCCTGACACGATGGTATTTAAAAATTAAAAACACCAATAACTGATTGGACTCAGTCTATTTTTAACACTATAGAAAATGGTCTGATTTATTTTTTGTAGTCACGCTTAAAGCATGAAGTGGACATTTTGTTTACTGACTCGACTATCAAATGTAATCATTATATATTTATGCCTTCAAGATTTATTTCCCAATATTCGAAGAAGGCTTTCAATTACTTAGCAATCCATCTGTTTTTAACAAGCAACAACAGACTTTTCTGTTCATTTTTTACTTTTTTTTTTAAACTTCGAATTTCAGAGTAGCATTAATAATTGATCGGACACACTAGCTCTTGATAATACTTAGTGCTGACTATTTTAGTATACTAAAGGCTTAAGAAATGAAGTTTATAGTTTTGATCGTATTCTTAGCACTTCTTGCTAGTAAGTACTACAATACCAAAAATCAAATATCAATCAAATTAATTTGAACTTTTGATTAGCTAAGATACCGCCATGCTGTAAAACGAGATGCTTACTCGCTGCTTGCAAGACGGTCAAAAAATACACCTAATTTTGATTTATTTGGACTTACTTTCACCAAATATTATGTTAAGCTGAGTAGAATGCAAGCAAACAGTTTGTTGACTTCCTTCGAGCACGTGCAATTTAAATATATAAATATTTATCAACCACTCTATAATTTCACGTTGTTTTAAAAGGGGTTAGCTTTAGTGGGCGAAAGAAAATTTGTTTTCTCAGTTTTTCGCATTATTTAAAAGCAAAATACGAAAAGTCTTGCCGTCAATCAAGGGTATCGGTCGTTCATATCTATAGATCATAAAACTTTTTTTGGAATTAAATATTATTCAGCTGGAAAAGACAGATTACGGGCAGAAAGACGGAGAGGAGTACTCTGTCATGTGTCATGTGGCTGTCAGAACAAAATCCGATAATAATAACTAGGTAACATTTCAACCTTTTCAAATGTGTTATGTAAATTTGTGTGTTTGTATAATGTGCATCTCCAACGTCTTACTTTATCATTTAAAACACCCGCAATTGATTGGAAGCACGCGCTCCTAATAGCTTGAAATATTGCTGACTGTATGATGTCCTAAACATATTTTGGATAAAGCTGGTCTTTTTATTGCTAATATAAAGAGTGTAAATCCAATTAAATTGTATTCTCGACTCCAATTTGATGTGAAAAACTGGCCTGCTGCAAGCCCGGATGCTTACTGCTCAGATCCTAGTGCTGTTAATGTGATGAAATTAGACAGTTCACAGTATTATTTGACTATATACTTACCCGCGGGCGGTCGTCCCTCATCGGCAGTGCTTAACGCAATGGCAAATTGGGCAGCATAATAGGTTATCATAATTTGTAGCCGTGGTGCGGGCAGTTTTACGTGCAATATGTGGATCACTGCAGCGAGCGCATCGGATATGATAAACAGAGCAGCGCCTACGGCAGCAAAGAAAGCCAGGAAACTCTTGACATGCAGAGCACGTGCCAACGAACGCCAGAACATGCCGGTTATCAGCGTACAATAGATGAACACACCGATTAAATGTGCAATATTCAAATGCCCGATCACGAAGTAGATCAAACCGATGCTCGATATATGAAGACAGGCTCCAATAATAATCTTTAGCGGACGCCAGCCGAAAGCGAACATATAGCAAATTTGTGTCGCACCAAAGCAGGTCATGCCCAAGGCGAATAACAACAAATTAAACATGACATCACCAGCGCAGGAGAACATTAACCCTATTAAAATCAATTGGGATTGTCCATAGTGCTTTTTGATCGATAACCCCTTGATCGAAACATAAAACATCAATGCCATTATGGGCAAGCATCGCAGCGCACTTGTCCATAGTGTCCACACCTGATCTTGACGCACCAGCGAAAAATAAAGCACCACACTTATATAAAACGGGATTAGCTTTAAGAATTCAATAGCTAAAAAACGCAGGTTGTAGTACATGATTATTATTTTCGCAGGAGCTCAATAAAGCTGCCGTTTACAGAAAAATGAAGGTATAAATTTAATAGAAAAAAGTCATTAGCTCATTGATAATTTTATAGTGAACGAGAAAGGATTACCTTTCACCTTTCTAATTGGGCATTACGTAGTCATTGTGTGGCTGCCAGCTAAATCGTATCCAGATTTTTGAAAATTCGAAATTTTTTTATTACAATGGAGACTTTTTGTTTATTTTTTGCTAGTTCAAAATAATATGAAAATTCAAATTTGAAAAAGCACAGGCTCAGCATCAGAAAGATACATAAGGCATTAATCCAGGCATGGTTAGTCAAAACCACGGCTAAACGCTTGAAAACCCATAACCCCAACATCGCGACATGCTAAACGGCGTTAAACTGAAATTGTAGACAGGCTGATGGGAGATTATATCATTGGGCTGTCACAAAATCTCAAAAATAATAAAAGCTAGCCTACACTGTGAAAAAACGTTGTACGTTTGAAGCGTGTTAGGTAGCATGACTAAGCTGACATACATGTAAATCAATTTTTCGCAATGAAAAGCAGCAATAATTGATTGGCCAAACAAGCTCCATGTAGCTATAAATAGTGCTGCTTCTTATAGTTAAAGTCAAACAATGAAGTGGATACTTTGGATCACATTTGCAGCACTGGCTACGGAAAGTAAGCATTGGGGCTGTGCATTACATATATAACGTGCATTAACTAAATTAATGTATATTCTTGATTTTTAATTAGGAAGTGTGCCAGCATGTTGTAAAAATGGTTGCCTCTTGCTTGAATGTGTAGATGTTACAAAATAACACTTTAAATATTTTTATTTGGATTTACTTGCCCTAAATATCTGTGAATAAATGCAATAGAAAGAGATTTTGAACAAATTGCAAAGATTTTATTAACTTGCAACATTTGCAATCATTAACAATTTATAAAAAATGTATGAGCAAGCGGCCGAGTCCAATGTACAATTTCTTTAAGATGCTGCAAATGATTCTGAAAGCTTTTACCTTACATTTGATGTGTTTTAGGCATAAGTTATTAATTTTGAAATTTGCTGTGTGACAGACAGCCAGATCGAATCGACTTTCCGATTTTGACAGCTGGGCTGATTGAGCCGAGCAGGTGAAATTAAAGAAGAAATAAAAGATGACATTGCATAAAATGCGATTGTTGATTACTCGGAGGATTTCGATTTCCAAGTATTGACGACTGGCTGGAGAGTTCATGAAAAGTAGTTAAAGTGCTGTTGCTTACATTTCCGGCTTTCCGGCTTTAAGACTGCTTCAGCTCTCCTGTCCTTTGGCCTCTCTAGTCGCAAACCAAAAACCAGACAAAGCCCCAACTAACAAACTAACAACAAAAACCCACAAATATGCCGAAACGTTTGCGCATTCGACATGCCAGTTGCCCACAGTCGACAGTCGGCAATCAGACAGGCTGAAATTGGAATGGGATTTGCTTAACCTCCACCACTCCGCACCAGTTTCCCCCAGCTTACCCTCGGCAGGCGCTTCATTGTCGCTATCATTGTTGTCAAGCGGGTCTAAAAACCAAATTCGGGTTCGGGAGGGGGGACAGCAAAAGGCTACAACTTTTACGCACGTTTCTCGCTCATATGTCAAATCTGGTACTCTTTTTTTTTGGGTGGAATTTTTGTTTTTGTTTTGTATTGGATTTTGACATTCGGTTGGTGCTCGAAAATGTTTTTACATGATGAAGGGTTTCATTTGATTTGGTTGGTTTGCCATTTTTCTGGTTTCACCGCCTGTTACACTTGTTGTTCTTGTTGTTCGGCAGTTGAATGTTGATGTGTGTCTGTATGTGTCTGTTTCAAGCTTTAGGGAGCACAGTGTCCGACTCCATGTAGTCACATGCACATTGGCAGCCAGGGCAAATGAAAAATCAACATTAAACATATGCTCTAGTTGAGTAAATCGCTTAAATTTCCATATGACAATGGGTAAAAGGACTGCTTGCATAGAAAAAATGTGGGGCAACAAACGACGAAATGGCCAACTAAATAACTGAATGGGAAATGTAAATAGTGGAACAATATATGTCTGACAATAAGTAAAGCCCTCTTGCTGAATGGGAATCTATTTATTTCACATTTTATACACTCTATTCAAGCTGTCACCCTGCTTCACCCTGCTTCCAGCACGTATAATCCAAATGCTATAAACATATATAAATCTAATTGAATATTTCGCTTAATCTAGGAGAGATTTAAATTGTGAAGATATGAGTGCCAGACAATGTGTTCAATTCGAGGGTATTTAATCGTCAATACTCCAACAGTAATCAGTATCTTTTTAGTTGTTATATATAAATACATTTGCAGCTTTTGGCTGCTGCATTTGCTTCAATCCAATTTCACTTAGAGCCAAAGCGAAATGCTGCACAGCTGTTGCCACGGTTTGTTCGTGCAACATCCCGATGCGATCCCTTTGCATATTACAGTAGTAGCTACAACCTGTAGATGGCTGAGAGCAGACTTTGGTTTTAAGAGCCTGCATATGCAAATGTCCTGGCACATTGAAATCAATTTCGCATGAAGGCAAAAAGTCAAATGGCGCCATATGAGACTCCACATGCAGACGCTTCAAATGGGCGGCGGCTCCTTTTGCCAAAAGGTTAAATGAACCGGAAGTGTTTTATGCAGCAAAAGATGCAATTATTTATATGGCTACATCAACTGTGCGAGTGTGGGTCGGTATTTGTGTTTGTATGCCTGGGCGTATGCCAACAAACGTGCAGAGCTTTTGGCATTTGCATACAGAGCGCGCAAATATGAGAAGCCAAGTCAAATTCACCATTTAGTGGATAGCTGCCACTTTAATACCCTTTACTCAAATTCGGCAGCGGCCATATGTGCTCTGAGTACACATTTATATTCCATTGACAGCATAATGTTATATTTTATTAACTTTAGACAAGTATTGAGTACTAAAATTGTGACTATGATAAACATCTCCGGATTCTATTCAGGCTACGTATTTATGATAATCCAAGGTTTGAGCCGGGGTAGCTTCTAGCTCAGCTCACTCAACTGGTGGACATTCAGTTGTTAATTCCACAATTTTGTTTTCTATGCGCGTCATGGTCGTCTGCCTCCTTCTCCATCGCCGCCTTGCTCCGGGTGGAGCTGGTCTGCATTGCACTTAAGTGCTTCAGCGTTTTGTGTGGCATTGTGTTTGGTTGACAGAGCAGCTCAGCTAAAAGGCTGCCGGACAGACGTGTCAGCCTCCAGCTAAAAGTCATTAGTTGCAGTCAACGTAAACAGGACTCTGGACAAAAGTTACCGAGAGTGAGAGGACAGCAGTCCACTGCTGGTTGCCACTGTTGCCGCTGACAATGATTTCCGCTGTGGCATCATTTTCTTTTTTTCTGCAAAAAGCCTGTGCGCAGAATATGCGCTTGCAACTTAATTTGCTAATGTGCCACATGCAAGCAAATATGCAGCCAAGCTTTGGAAAGGACAACAACCAAATGCAGTGGGCAGCTGAAACTTTTACAAAGTCAAATATTTGAAAAGCTAAAGGGAGCCCTTTTGATATAACATTATACCCTTGTGAAGGGTATTATAAGTATATATTATCCAGATCAGCATCAACAGCCAACTCTTTATATAGCCAGGTCCGCCTGCCTGACTGTTCGCCTGCCTTTTTCTTTGCTTGAAACTGGGCCGTCTTTCTGTTGCAGAAATCGTTAGGATTGGATCTCTATAGCTTTATAGCTAATATATATGTTAAATCTAATAACATCAGAGCTGCCATTAAATCGGTTTCTTATATGAAAAACTTTCGTCTTTTCTAATATAGCTCGATACAACCACGTCTTAACTAGTTTAACTAAGCTTTACTTTTCCTCTTACTTAATATAAGCTTTATTACATAGCTCTCTGGGAAGAATACCAAAACTTATATACTATTGCATACTTCCCTCAACATTCTGCTGGTGTTTTTTGTTATTTGATTTTGGTGCTTAAACTTGGCGGTACTTGTGTACTTTACTGCTTTAACATATATAACAATTGTGAAGTAATTAAACTAGTTATGCCACATGTTAGCTGATACATGTAGTCAAAGTTGTAATTGCAACACGACAGTTAGCCCAGCCCCCAAGCAAACTGTGCTCCTAAGCGGACAGAATGCCATTGACTATTGTCAATTGAAAAGTTGCACTACCCCTTGCCCCTGGGCTGTTAGATAGGTTTAAGCCATCGACTATGTTGCTTCACTTGCCACAACTTTTCTAATTTTCTGCTGCTGTGTTTGAGTGACATTTTACGCACCAAAACTTTTGTTTAGCGCAAGTTTAACAATGTTTTGCTCTTGTTTTTGTTTTAGTTGCTCTTATTGTTATTGTTGCTATTGTAGGTCATTTTGGTTAAGTGGTTTAACGCGCTTTTCACACTTACGAAACAGTTCAGCAAAGTTCAGCGGTTGACTCGCTGTTTACGTGTGTCACTTTGTTACTTGATAAAAATCAGTTTTACTTACAAATTTGCCTTTGAATGCGCCATTATTAATTAATTAAATTGCATAACTTTTGTTTTTGACCACATTAGCGGCAGTCTTTAAAAAAAATTTCATATTTAATATATTATTTTATTTTCAAACAAATAAAATTAAAACCACAATTATAAAATGTTGAGCGGCAATTTAAAACTATTTTCAGTTCAAACTGTGTTCAATACACGAAATTAAAAAACAAATAAAACAAAGCACTGTACAGCAAATTTTTTTTATCCTCGCACATTTTGTAAATAAAACAAGAAAATTATTTTTATCAAACTGTTTTGCAATTTAAAAAAATAAATCATATAATGTTTTCCATAATAAGAAATTGGGTTCTGTTCGTTATAAGTTTTAAAATTAAAATTTAATTTAATATTTATAGTTGCCCGTTGTACTGAAAATATCGCAAGCCGTAAATATTTTCATGCGCAAATTGCGGGCTAGATTTGAGCTCTACTTAAATATTGCATCTAACAAGCTAAGCATACTTGGCATCTTTAAGAAGTGTTTTATTGTAACAACAAAAGCTTTGATTGATGGTTAAAAAAAAAGAAGTGGTTACCACATAAAATTCATGGTCTCCTTTCTTTTTTGATTATAGACACAGAATAGCATATTGAATTTATATTTCCTGCACTTTGCGTCTTATATACATTTATTTTGTTGCGTGCTGTAACTCACTCGCGATGATAAATTTCTGTGGTCGCACAATGAACCCCTGCTGAATATGTTGCCTGAAGCACAGCCGCATGAATTGCAACAAAATAAGTCAAAAGCAAATAGAGACACATATTTTAAAGCTTCATTCATACACAGAAGCCTGCCACATAGCCGAACACATAATGGGTATTTGTGTCTACTAGTTAGGGTCTAGTGCTTGTGCGAATGAGATGAATGTGGTCGTCTGTTGGCCAGAAACGCCTTGGCAGAATCAGCTGTAGAGTGGAACATTTTTTTTTTTTGGGGGCAAGCTACCAATCCTCTTGATATTGGGCAACCGAATAATGTAACCCCAAGCCAACCGTCCGGAAAAAATGTATCCAGCAACAGTCACTTCTCACGACTGCCAGCACTCTCCACTGAACTCGGTCCTGTCTAACATATGATGCTGTTACGGTTTCCGGTCCAAGGGAAAATTTGTAATGTACTCAGTGGGGCAGAAGGCTCGTCGCCGGCTCCAGCTCCGGCTCGTAGCTGCGCTTCGGCACGGCACTGTGGTAGCCCCCACATGAGTAACGGTCGCACATTCGTAATGATTATGTTGCAGCTGCTGGCAGACAGGTAGTCGTAGCCTACCTGGACACACTGCCACATACATGGGCAGCAATCCATTGTGGCAACAAAGTGAGGCAAACAGCAAGCAGCCTTTCAATTAGCAGCCAAAGTTGAAGCTCCCAAGGACATGGCCTGTCCAAAAAGTGTTTATTAATTTTGCCTTTAAATTTCCACGGGTCTATTACCCGCACCAGCAGCCGCTGCCATGGTAAATTGACAAACTGATGAACTGCGTTACCTGGTTACCACAGAAGACAATCGGCCGACTGATTGTGGCCAAAATCTCACAAGGCCAAAACAACATGACCTTCTGCCTGATTTCGAACTGTTCCCCAATAATTCGGCTGTTGTTCGTTTGAAAATTTGTAATTTCATTTGCATGGCTTTTCGGCAGCATTAATCTTGACCTTTGCCATCTGACTGCAAATTCAGTTCAATAACTTGGCTAAATATAACACAGAAAACATGAGTCAATTCAAAAGCAGACCAGCTATTGCATTCAGTTGAAAAAGAGTCTGGCTTTTGGCTTTAAGTATTCACTTTTATTTCAGAATTCAATTCAACTGTCCCAAAGTTGGGCTTGATTGCATAATTGTGGTAATGCATTATGATGCATTATGGTAAACCAAAATTAAATGTTTTTTAAAAGTTAAATCGTGTTCAACATAATTACGAGCTACATTAGGCAGCAATGCTATTGAAAAATAAATATACAAATATTACACTATTCTACAATATTAAAGTTTCAGTTGACAAATTTTCCATGTTAAATGTTTAACATAAATACAAATAAAAAGGAAAGTTGATTTTATTGCTCATTACTTCTGTCTTGTTGAGCTGTTTAAAACAAAATTTTATGTCTTTTTTTTTAATGAAAATTTACATAACATCTCTTTGTTGTCATAAATAATAAGCCCCAATACAAACAATAGAAACTGAATTAGTAAACAATTAAACCGACATCGCCAAAAATAATATTTGGCTTAGTTTACATAAAGTCTCATATAGCTGAAGTATTCAATACTTGGACACTTGGCTGGCAAACAAAATGAAATTGCTTGCTTCGTGGACATCGCGCTGTCAATTTGTCAATTTGACAAATTGCATCAATAATTGATTGATCCCGTACCTGCAGCTTTTTCTCTATGTTTGGCAGACCTATCTCCCCAGCGGGAGCTGGAATTCGTCAAACCTTTGTGCCGCAACTCAACTCAACTCAATCCAATAACAAATACAATAAGGCTGTCGGGTCACTGCAATCAAGTCAGCCACAAAATAGGTTCACAGCGGTCGATAGCCACTCGAATCGTTCTTCTGTTGGCCAATGCCAGACGCCACTTGGTTATTCCAAGTAAATTCAAGTCTTTTCTATTTTGACTCTATGCTCACATATGACTTACATTTGATTACATTTTGCAATCGAGTCGCCATTTAATTTTCCGGTCGAATAATAATAAGATGTTATAACAAAAATGGGGAAAAACAAAAATATTTACAACGTTCAAATTAAATCCTAATTAAACGTTTTAAAGAATATATATAATTTTATTTAAACCTACCGCAAGAACCAAATAAAAGGCAAATTTTAATTTCGTGCAGCCAAAGGCAATTCACGAGTGCTTTTATTAACACTTACACCCACACACACATACACACACGCAAATGCACCAACTCATTAGCCAAATGACCAAAGCTTAAATCCCTGCTTAAAACACCAATGAAGATAATGGAAGAACTTGTCACACGACTAGTAAATACTCTTTATCATTATCTGGGGCATGATTTGTAGCGAGCGCAGATAATAATACACGACATGTTGTTATCTGAAAAAAAAACGGCAAATGAGTGGCTTTTCGCAACTACACAACTTTGTCACACTTTAATTAATTATTGCGGTATCCGCCACGAAATGGAACCACATTATCATGATTTTATACCCAGAGAGAACCATCGGGAAGCACATAAACTGCAAGTTTGCAACGTTTGCGGTGATTGCCTCGACTGGCTGGACATAAAGAAAAAGTGTCATTAGCATGCCATGAATGCCAAAATGTAAACGAAAAAAGCTAAGGCACCATTGCAGGACCAGGAAGCTACATGCGAGCCAGTTGTGGTTGGGAGTACATTGAAGTTGTCGTTGACATACTCAAGCTTAGATACTTTACAGGGACTTTTCTCAGGCTTAACTTATCACAAATCAGAAACAATTCATATTTATTTACAGACAGCTTAAAGAGAATTTATGAACAGCAGAAATGCAAATAATATGACAAGTAAATATAAATCAAATAATTGAAAGAGCTTAGGCAAATGATTAAGGCAGGATTTTGATGGATGAAAATCATTCTTTTTCAATTTTAATAAAAGTTTTTGGGCTTTGCTGATCTATTTCCTGTTTTTGTAAGATTTGTGGCTTTTGGTCGGCCTGCATATTATGTGTTTTAATTAAAACAATTAAATTGCGATAAATTTCTGCCCCTGCTATGTGAAAGTTATCTTTGATAAAGTGCCTAATTTATGATGTCTCTCAGGAGTACAATGTTCCTAGGAACATTTTAAGATATGTGACTTGAATTAATTCGTTATTATTTAATATGCGCTGACAAAGTTATTTCACTTACTCGTCTGGCATGTAATTTCCCAGAACTTTGCTTCGCTAATGTCTTGTCGCAGGGCTCAGGGCGGGACGCAAAAAACTTTGGCCATTTCGAGCGTTGCTCATACGCCTCGTGTTCGGCGTTGTCAAAACTTCCTGCATGCCAGCATTTTAATTGAAAGCAAAAATAACTGGCACACCTCAACATAAGCAAAGTAACTTGTTGCTTCTTGTGCTTTCTCCTGGGGCACATCATTCTGGCTTTGTGGATGCAGTCAACGCAGCTTACATTTGGCCGTAAATTATCAAGTGACAAATCGCTTGTCTGTACATTTGTTCTATGCTCTGCCAGTTGTTTGTTTGTACCTGAAAGCGGCAACACGACAAGCTTGACATGCAACAACAACAACGACTTACACACAAAATACAAGCGAACACTTCAACACGCAACAATTGACACGTGTGGGGCCCACCCAAAGCATCACAGTCCTAGACGCATAAAGAATGGCTTTGGGCATGTATGTGCTGAATATGAAACACAATTACTTAATTGACACGGCTTACTAATCGACTAGCCAATGGCTTCTGTCTGTTAAATATTCATACTAAGCTTGTAACTAACGTTGAAAGAAACTTGTCATTATATTATTACCCTCTAAGTCCATTAAACAAACTACGACCTGGATCAAATGAAATGTAGTTTCCCTTGAATAATGTGGAAAGCCTGCTTTAAATCATGATATACTTTAAGTTTTAGTGTGCTTCAAATATAACATCTGAGTTGATAATATTCCCAATACTTAAGTAACTCCACAAAGAATATATGTTGAATGAATTTTGCGCTTTAAAATTGTCAACAAATATAAAAAAGTAATACACTTATTAATCATTTTTTTGTTTAACATTTATTATTTATTAAATATTTCAGTTAATTGTAAAATGCATTCTGTAATTTGCATTGAAATTAAAATATGTATTTTAATTGGTTTTTATTGATAGCTGAATCAATGTTTAATACTTGGCTGCGACGGCTTTTTTGCTCACCATTTACTTAACAATTCACGTTTATTATTATTAATATAACACATTTATATATATATATATATATATATATGTATGCATGTATGTATGTATGTTTGCCAATTGATATATGATTTAACATTTATTTGACTTGAAGTTTGCAGATTGCGACATTCATTAAAAACATTTTAATTTTGTGAATTGTAATGCACAATGAATTATATAACTTCGTATTGGCCATTAAAATCATATAATATTTTAATATATTTGCAATTTTATTTTACGTTATTTATCTTTAAAGGTTTTTACTTTATATGCTTAGCTTGAATTTAACATACAACAAACATATATAGATTTTAACCTCGTTCTTAGATTTCTACGCGTTACTTCATGACTTTTATAAATATGCCTAACTTATAATTAAATTTTCGAATAATTTAACATTCATTTTGTATATTTTGTAGTTTTGTCTGCGACCTTTTACTTATGAGTCTTTCACATAGATTTTACTACATATAATTTCTAGACAAATTGTATATTTGATATCGTATTTTGTCATTAACTTAGTTGCATTTCATTCGTTCGTATTCGTTTGCTCTTTTGCATTTGAAAAACTGTCTTAAATGAGTTTATTGATTATAATTTAACACACACCTTACAAATTAGTTCTTTAATTACATATACTTAAGATTCTATTAAACATTCAGTGCCTTTAACATTTTCCTTTAAGCCTACAATTAATATTTATTTGGCCTTATGTTTTTTCTTTAAGTTGTTGTCATTAGAATTTAAATTCAATTTAGTGTTTTGTGCCGTTTCAGAATTCAGTTGAAACCCCTGCTTAAGTGACAAATAAGATTGCAATTTAAAATTGCGCCTCGTTTTTCCACCTGTCTTACCACACAGCTTGTGCTTTTGAGTATTATATTTATATTCAAATATATATATATATATATATATATACATGTATATATATTTTTTTGTTCATATTGAGGTGAACCACAAAAAACATTTGATGTGTCAACATTTATCTTGTTGCATTTTAACTTGTCTCTACTTTTACTATATTTCATTTATTTGTTTTCTTTTTTTTTTCGTAGACCAACTAACAGATATTACGTATACGCAGTGCAACTTTTTATATATGACAAACCAAAAGTACACAAAAATCGCTGACATTTTTTTGAAAGCTTAATTTACAGGATAGCACATGGCTTGAGTTGCAGCAAAACGATTTGAGAGAATAATAGTGTGTCATCCTCTGGCAACATCGCCTGACATAAACTTTCAAAAGTGGGGCTCAGGGTCAACAAGACTTTGAATACTTTTGGTTCTCTACTATTTTTGTGTGCTCTATTTGTTTTTTATTTGTAGTTATTCTCTCCTTGCTTCACGTCATGCCCAGCATTTGTTACACTAAATTTCCATTTGCTTTTATGCTAAATTAAGTTCTACAGTCAAAACACTTTGAAAGCGTGTCGAACAGATTTGGTTTTTCTAAAGCGGCTTAAATATCTACGTTAATTGGTTTTTTCATAAAACAGTGTCAAGCCTTAAACACGTAATTTATAATATTGAAACTCACATCAAAGTAACGACTAGCAAATTATTTTATCTCTAAGCATTTTCACTTGCATTGCTTTTCGCCTAAGCGTGAGTGTGACCGGTTTATTTAAGACAGTTTTGAAATTGAATTTTTCCGGAAAACTGAGCCACAAAGAAGTTAGATTTCACTTGCTTAGAACTTGTCACTCTTCATCCGGCTAATAGTCTAAGCTCTGGTTTGAGCCACCAACTAAATTTCAATAAAATGTCTATGCAAACAACTTTGAAACATCCGTCAATTTGGTAAAATTTGACTCCTGCCTCTTAACTTGTTTTCCAGCAGCTGTCAGTCGATCGACAAATATTTGGCTCGGCTTGCTGTTGCCTACACAAATCCCATCAATGTCAGCTTAGGCTTATTTTATTTGGCACAATATTGTTTGCCAGTTTTGTTCTTTTTATTTTTAGTTGGGTAAATTATTTTCTTTGGTTTTCAGCATTTTACTTTTGTTTTGCTGCCATTTACCTTTTGTTGCGGTGCTGTGCTGACATTTTTCCGCGCAATTGAACCAAAAATTGGCACAACAAATTTAATTCCAACGACAACCGAGTGAAGCGAAGCATTTGTGCGACAGTTAGACGCAGAATTTTGAAATTGAAATCGAGGTGACGCATATAGCCGACCCATATGGAGTATGCCGGCGTTTTAATGGATTCGCCCGACTCCCTGCAAGGCTGCGCAAATATGCGAAATGGCGCAGCGAATGCTGCGAATGTAAAGCGGTAAAAATAAAGAAAAAAATATGTTTAGAATTGGTTGTCAACGCCTTTGGGGCCTGCCTAGATGCGGCTCAGTCACACCCACTTAGATACACACACACACATACACACAGACAGACACACATACGCACACTTACAAATTTGATACCAAGCGATTTGAGAAGCTGCTTCAGCCAATTGCTTGGGGCACTGTTGTGCTCCATCCTCTCCCCCCCTGGCGTCCCTGCGCGGCAATATTCGCATCGTTGTCACTTTATTTGGCATTTATCAGCACTTTTCGTGCCACACAGTACGACTAACAGCCACTCCCACACGCCAACATGCGCCCATACTCTAGAACTTTGCACTTTCAGCTTTGTAGTTTATGTCACATTCCCCTACACTTTGTTGTCGTCGATATCCTTGCCACTGTCGAGGACCAGCAATTGCGCCTAGAAATGTGTTTCGAAAATCTGTAAAATATGTAGAAATACTTTAGAATTCAGAATTTGGCAATATCATATATGTATGCTAGCAAGTATCGAGTTTACAAAAGCAACAAATTGGTTTACATTAATTTTCGAGTTTCAGTTCTTTCGAGCTAGTTATACGCCCAGATAGATGTGTTTCTTAAAGCAGCTTATGCCAATTTGTCTGCCAACTTATGGCGCCAACTTGGCAGCGCGGGACAAAGCGCCTTAGAGGCAAATGCCTTGCTCCTGGCAATATTTGCGACAGCCTGACAAATGTTTCACTGTCCAAAATGTTCAGGTCTGGAGCAGTGCGGCGCATATTTACTGACGCAGCTTCGACTTGATGGCCATGTCATGGCGTGTTAATCGCCACTGTCAAGGCAAAAAGGCAAATGAGCAGCAACAAACGCAAATATAAATAAATATGAACAAATTCCAACAGACACGCCCACACTTGACGACCAGCACCCGCTGGCTGCAATTAGCATTAGCTACTTGTTGCAGCTTATTCAGGGTCACGAGTGCGGGCGCTCCTTTTCTTCTTTGACTCGCATTCATAATAAACTCGCATAACGTATACGCGACATTGACATTCTGCTGGCGTGTCTATTAATATTTTAATTACATTTCATATTTTCAACAAATTTACGATAATTAATTATCACTTTGCACTCGAAAGCTGGTCAAACCGATGTGGAAAAGAAACAAACATTTGAACGAAGTAAAAAAAACTGTTTTCCATATGTTATGAATATGAATATTAAATATATTTCGTTGGCAACTCTTAAGACTCTAAATTAAATTCTGGTTTTAATTATACACAAACCTTGTTAGTAAAGATATAACAAACTTAGTTAAACCCTTTTACAAAAGTACGAGCTTTTGCAAACAAAAAGACTAGTTTCTATATATAGATTATTGCATCACATTGCCGTCTTTAGCACACACGAGCATTTCAGCTGTGTTTTGATTACATTCCTGTGTTTTTAATTTCATTTTCAATCTCGTTCAAGTGCGCACACACACTCACACAAACCTAGGTGCATATCCAGAATTTAATATCGCACATGCCAACACCCTGATGAAAGATTTAGCTTAATTTATTTTTGTGCTTTGAATTTTTTATTAATTCTAGGCTGAATTTTGTTATTTTCAGCCCTTCACTGACTATTTGCATATGTGCTAGCCTTTTTGATGTGAGATAGCTAAAATTGATTGAAATGCCAAAGATAATGAGTAAATTCCTGGGAGACAGGTACGCAAAGGCAAATTCCAAAATAGATATAGACATAAATATAAATACAATTGCATAATTTTAGGCGTCGACTCTCGTTATTAATTTGCAATTTGCCCTAATGTCAAATTGATCAGGTGTTGTAAGTAATCTGTTAAAAGACGAATTCTTCATATTTCAATATGATTTACACAAAGAATTCTTCCTCGTCCCAGCGCAAAAGTGTAAAATTACAAAAAAAAAAAAATACATTTTCATTAAAATTACGCCGCACCAACATTTTGGACAGAATCTTTAATGACAGCTCACAGCTAAAATGAAGACGAACTTAAGCCTTCATTGTTGATAATTGAAATGAAATGAATTTTCTAGCCAGCAACAACTACATATAAGAGAAACAGAGCTGCGACCCAAAACAAAGGTAAACTTCGCCTTGAGCCTTCAATGTTTCTCAGTCCTTTAGTTGCCTAGAACAAAGTGTGCAGTGTCCGGGAACTGGATCCGGGCAACTACCTTTAATGCCACTTTATTAAGTATTCATTATTGTCAACTTGGATTGTGGGTTGCGGGTTGCGGGTTGCAGGTCTGCGGCTGGTAGTAAACCCAGCCCAGCCCAGCCGAGCCGAGGGCGAGAGAGTTGACCAAGTTTTGTGTGTGTGTGTGTGTGTGTGTGTGTGTGCGTGCGCCCGCTTGAAGCCTTGTTGTGGTCCGTTGTGGAGAACTACATCTGCTCGGGTGGAACATTAATTGCCAGCGGCACATTGATGTTTATGTAATTAATTTTAATTGCAGCACTTTTCTCCAACTCATTCTGGGTGCTAAAAGTTTCTTTTTATTGTTTTGTTGTTTTGTTTGCTCTTTTACAGTTTTATTATGAGCAACATTTGTTTTCATGTTTGCAGTTGACAAAGTGCGCGGTGGCCGTCCAACAAAATCAATAATAATGGCAATAAAATATTTAGCTACTCGGCGCACGGGTCGTATGCGCAATAAATAAATCATTGAGCATACGGCTAAACACAAAAGAAGCCGGGCAACCTATGAGCCCATGAGCACGATATCTGGCTTAAAGAATTGTTGATACTTTAACTTCATCAACTTTTTCTATGACCTCGGCCCACTGTGCAACACTTGCCACCTGTCAACTCAATTTTCTAGCCAAAAATTACTGTCTTAATAGGCAGCTCATCTCATTTAGCTGCGCTGCGTCTCTTGCCCTGAGTGGTATTTAACTTGTCTCAATTAGAGGCCGACAGAAACGAACTGTTTTCCATGTTGGTGGCAACTGGCCAAGGCTCTTAGGCTCTATGGCACATGCAGACAAGACATGCACAACCTACGGACGTGCTGGCGAATGTTCTTTTTAATGAATCGCATGCTAAGTATAGCAAACAGACGCAATGCCAAATTAAATGAGTTGGTAATTAGGCTGGCAGAAAACAGCCGAAATAAAAAAAAAAAAAAAAAAACAAAAATAAATAAAAACGCAAGGCAAGAAACGCAAGAACATAAACATAACGCTTAAACTGAAAGTCATAGCTGCGAGGAGTAGGCGGCTTTAGGGTGGACCAGCGGCAACACTTTGTTTTCCTTGTGACATCATCTTTTCATGTTATTATCAAACTCTAAAATCCCGCCAGAGTCACAGTCTGTCATCACTTTTTATTTTTAAATTATGCGCACACAGCAAAATAATTATAACAAGTGCTGGCAAAGGCATTTAAATATTACAAGTGCTAAGTACTTAAGGGAAGGAGAGCATTCAGCACACACGCCCACAACAACGACAACTCAATGAAATTTAATGAGTTAAATAGACATCACTTTAAATGCATAAAGCCCGCTGCCAGGAAGTTAACAACGCGTTGCCAAAGCCTGTAAGGGACCCAAAAGTAAGCCGATGTATTTTTATTCATTAAATTTTGCCTATATTAATTACCATAGATTTAAATGACATCAGAAGGCGCATAAGGCAGCCAAATGATGAGTTTGTACATAACAACATCCATGAGCTGCAAAAGTTAAACTCGATAACTGAATCACCCAACAAGTTAATAATGTGCGTTAGCACGCTTTCGAGATAAATGAAACATTTAAAAAGAATCTGCTAACCCATTAGAAACATGTTTACTTTAAAAAATATTCTTCATTTAAATTATTCTGGGCAAAGCATAAACTTATGCAGCCGCTATTATTGTTATTTTTTTGCTGCTTCAAAATATTTGTTTTTTTGTAAAACGCGCTGCCAGTTCATTAAAGGCCAGTTTCACTGTATTTACATAAATGTATATTCTGGACAGGGTGCATGCAAATATTTGCTGTGCCTGTCAACAAAACAGACAAACAAAAAGGCTTCAACAGGCGCCAAGCTCACGAGCACTCAACTCGACGGTGGAATGAGAGTTTTTGAGGGTATTTCGCAAACAACTTGAAATTAATTCGTATCAGATTTCACATGCTTATCACTCCTGTATGAAGACAGCATTATTAGGTAATTATTACAGCTGTGGCAACCGAAAATATGATCTACACGACTTTGTCTAAAGAGCAACTCGATAGATTTAAATTAAATACATTTAATTACCCTTTCTTTTCCCTGCTCTTACACTAATTCGCACTCTACTTCTTTTAATTTCTAGTGTTTTCCTTCGACTAATATAAAGCTAATAAATAATCATGCGTGAATCTTAAGGGTAAGTGAATATTTATAAACATTTTATATATAAATAAGTATCAACGAGTAAAGGAAATTTGGGGCTGGGCAAGGGTTGCCTTCTAGTCTTATATATTTTTAAGTTCAACTACGATAAGAGAGTTCTTGAAATGTAAGCTTGCCAGAGGAAGTTAGTTCGAAGCAACGAAAAGAAAATTCTGAAATATTTCTAGCTCTTCATATCTGAACCAGAACGCGCCTTCGAAATAGACTCAAACTACGCATTTTTGGGCGTTTCATTACTTATGAAAGCTGTCTCTTAATTTGGCTGCCGTGCCAAGAGAAATGATGAGCAATTTGCCCGGCGCTATCAAAGATGCTTCGCTCAATGTGGCGGGTAACTTGAACGTTGGAAACTACTCGTCCGAGCTGGTCGCTGTCGCAGTCGCAGTCGCTGAATAATTTGTGCACATAAATCTTAAGAGCCCCAAGTCGCTTATGTGTGTAAATTATGTGGCATTATTCAAAATATTAACTTGAAATCGCACAAGGATGACACAGAGCAGGGCTCCGAGTGTTGACCTCCTGTGCGCCTCTGTGGCCTTTTGTCCATTTTCAAGTGGCATTCGTAATTTCTGGTTGCGCCCATTATGCTATAGACAAAATTAAATTCTCGATTTTATATACGTCGCTTTTGTAATAATTTCAGCTTTCCCGCTACTTATGGGAATTGTCACATCTTTTTGCCCCTGACCCCTGTTATTGTACCCTAGTTAGAGAACGCCTGCGGTTTGTTTGAGAGTTTATAAAATTAATTTGCTTGCGGCAGGCGCACAGTGCGTATTAATATGTATATATGGACAGGGAAAACGACCGGGATCAGTTTGCGCCCCAAGCTCGTGCCTCAAAAAATACAGAGAATTTTAATTTTAATTCACTCACTGCGATTAAATAATGTATAAGTTACCCGGCCAGGGATTTTGCGGAAAGATTTGATTGATATGCCAAGCACGTAGAATGGGCAGGGCGAAAAGGAAAGCACGGCGACAAATCGAACAAGCAACCGGAAGTGGGAAAATGGGAATTGGTAGGCCGACAGACAGGCCCAAATAA